AGTGTACAACTAATCTATTTTTTTAAATGAGATAGGTGGTGTCCCGAATGTGAATGCACAAACCAACTTCGAGAATGAGACGGAGCCGGTGATCCATAATGATACAGGTTAGAAATTATATTCCTAATTTCGGATAAATATATTGTATAACTCTTTGTATTAATTTATTGTGTTATGCTCTTTGGCTAGATGGTGCCCCGTGGAGGGTTGCTCGGATTCCCAATACTAGTTGGAAGAATTACCCATGGCTACATTGTTTGGAATCCTACGTGCAACGACTAGTTCGTGGTTGGTTCAACCCTATTCCAGATGGACACTGTGGAATTCGAGCTATATCACAAGCAGTTACTGGGGACCAAAGCAATTGGCCACAAATGAGACGCGCTGTTGTAGAGGAGCTTGAATCCCGTCCTGAACTTTATAGAGACTACTATGATGGAATAGCAAATGGAATAGAAAATGGCATTCGACGTTGCAGGTGGGCATCAACAAGTGGTTGTGGACCTCCCAACTGGATGGATAATGCGGAACTCTTCGTCTTCGCCACCTTGCATTCATGGGCTATCGTTGTATACAGTCAAGGCGGTCGTTATACCGTGCTACCTGTGACGGCCCCACCAGGAGTAACAAGACCACGTGGGATCTTATCACTACATTTTACGGGCTATCCAAGCCTGAAGCAGGGTCAAACAACCACAAAGACCCTTACTACCCGCTCGTGTGGCCACTCCCAACTGTCTGTAGAGATAGGCTAGTGCACCAGCTCCCCAAGCGTAATCAGTCAATCGTCGATGATCCTTCAGAAACAAGTTGATCGCAGGACGAAGGCGATCACGACTCTTATCCACAAAAAGTGTGGATCCCAGTAACACAAATAGGTAACACTGCACCTCCATATCCTTAATCTTCAACTCTCCCCCACGCACCAACAATCCCTCTGCATGCATAGCACCATTATCGTACCACTTAGACTTCCACTTACCACCAACCTGAGCATCCACCGAAAGTCAAACTAGACCACCCATGTCTGACTTAAGAGTATCCGGCGACGCCTCATCTCCCATCATCTCTCCGTCAACCGTTATCCGAAGAATGTGATGCACATCGTGTAGAAGGATCGAAATCTCTCCAAACGGCATGTGGAAGGTGTTTGTGTCCGGCTGCCACCTCTCCACAAATGCCGACAGTAGAGCAATGTCTAAATGCTGCATCATGCACCCTGTCAAGTGAGACAATCCTGTGGCTTCAACCATCTCCTTGGAACCCTCTTCACTCCACTTATATCGCCTCAAAGTCTCTATAGCTTTCGGCCTATGGAAGCCGTCCAACACTCCACGGTCCTGCTCAGGGGAATTCCACAGTACAAGACCAATGTGACCTCCAAAGCTAGGGATCACATCGGGAATCACTGGTCCACCTGAACACATCGGAGACTCGGCTCTAAGAAACCACGACATATCTTTCCTCGTGGTCTTCCTCTTCCTATTTCCATCTCCGCCATCCTCGCTACTAGGTCTGGACGCATAGCGTCCATCAGGGCCACGGAAGTGGGAGGAGGCAGTAGAAGATATCCCGACCCACGCCTAAATCAGCTTGAGGTGCGGCATCCCCATCCTCAGCATCACCAGCACGATCACCAGCATCGTCACCAGCAGCATCACCAGCATCTGGGGCATTCCCAACCTCAGCCTCACCGTCATCATCATCATCCTCGTCAATGGAATCACTCCAATTAGCCTGCCATACCGGTGCGCTCTCTGGTGTAGGAGTACTGGTAGTACCTCGACTAAGAGACAACTGCCCCACAGTAGGGTGGCCGTCAGGACGCACTACATCCGCCTTCTTCTTCCTTCTAACCTTATGTGGATTTTTTTCTTCATTTTCCTTCCTACCAGTCGCCGTAAGTCTACAAGCACGACCTTCCATTCTCTCCTTATTTCTCGCCTTAATCATATCCGGTTTACCCATTCCATGTCCAGACATCTTCAAAAAAAAGTTTGAATTATTAATAATGGATTATTAATAATAAAGTACATAAAGTAATTAATTAAAGATTTCCATAATTAAAATTATAAAATTAATAGTTTGAACATTTATGTTACGTTCTATGTAATCATTATTTACATAAAAGTAAATAATTAATCAAGGTAAAATTATTAATAATTAAGTAGATAAACGAATTACTTTGAAATTTTGATTATTAAAATGATAAAAATAAATTTTTAATTTTTTTATTATGTTCTTTAAATTTGTTATCATTAATTAACATTTATCGAAAACATTTTTTAAATTTTTATATCATATAACTAAATTATAACTAAATTAACATTTATCGAATACCTTATCATTAAATATAATTATAACTAAATTATTTTTATTAAATATATTTTTTAATTTTTTTTATTATTAACATTTATTTAAACACAGAATATTAAAAAACAGAATTTAAAAAAAAAGGGTCAACCGCGGTCAACGCGCGGTCTGACCGACGGTCAACTCGCTGTTGAACCGACGGCGGACCGCGGTTGAACCGACGGTCAGAAAGCGGTTTGACTGCGGTCGGGATTTTTTTTTTTACCTTCTTCTTCTTCCGGCGTGACTGTGGAGCGCGAGATGGGACTGGTGGGCGGCGACGGGACGAGCGGCGTGATGGCGGGCGACGGGACGAGCGGCGACTTGGCGGGCGGCGACGGGACTGGCGGGCGGCGACTGGCTGGCGAGATTGGCGGCGACGACAGGTGAGAGCACCGGCGGCGGGAGGAGTTCGCCAGAGCACCGGCGGCGGGATTTCTTCTCGTCTGCGCGTCGGTGGACCAGGAGGCAGAGCACCGGCGGCGGGACAGTAGAGGGGCAGAGGGGGAGAGCACCGGTGGCGGGAGGAGTTCGCCGGCGGAAAGGGTGGAGAGGGTGGAAGGTTTAGGGCTGTTGTGGATTCGTTGCTGTTGAGGGAAAGATAAGGGCTGTTTGGTCTCTTATTTTTTCAATTTTCATTAAGGGTATATAGGTAATATGATATTTAAGTTAGGGCGACGTAGAGCAATTATTAGGGCGATATTTAGCGATTCGGAAAAATAATGGGGATGCAGATGGTTAACAAACTTTTAGTTTTAGGTTTTGATTTTAGGACAAATCATTTATCATTATAAATAAAGGTATACGTATACAAAAAAAAAAAAAAATCTTATGTAGCCGAGATTGTGGAATTGGTGGCATACTTTATATATGAGATAGGTGGCATATTATGTTGAACTTTTCCCTTAGTTATTTGTGGTTAAAATAGTGAACCCTTGTACCAATAAAATTGGGTTAGTTTGATGAGGAATTGTAACGGATTAATTTGACACAATTGTATCAAATTGTCTCGTTTGCCAGCAAAATTTTTGGATGGATCAATCTGCCTGAGGTATTTTGACTTGATCCGTTTTGAGTCAATTTCAATTACCTGAGGTGGGGGCAGGTAATTCGAATTGACTCATTTTAATTGCCTCATTTATAAAACGAGACAATTGATTAACTTGACTCATTATGTAGTATTATATCCAACCATTAAAAATCATTCGGTCCATATCAAACTGTCCAAATTAATGGATCGAACCTCTATTTCAACGGGTTTGACGATGCTAATAGTTCAGTCATCAATCCGATTTGATTCTTATAACAAGAAAATTTCAAATGCAAATAAAATTTCCAACATCAATTTTGCAAATGCAAAATCAATTCACGATAATCGATTACCCATGAGACGGTTGTTTATATCTTAAGGAAACTGGACCAAGCGCTAAACAAGGCATGGGTTTTTTTACAGTTGTGTACAACGAGAGATGGGTTTGTACCAAGCTCCTCGCTTTATAGCTTGCTGTTTAGACTATTTGCTATTAAGGAAATTGAAAGAGCAAGGATTTTGTTTGGATGAGCAAACGTACACTAGACTTTCAAGGCTGTTTAGGAACCGCCCTTCAAAGCTTTGAGCTTTTTTCACTGGGTTGCTACGTGCGACTTATGCCGTTTACCTTCACTGACGGTTGTGGCTTCTGACATCTTATAGGTAGTGAAAAAAAACATGTATATATAGGCTGACTCTCGATGGAGTGGATGTGATGGGCGAACGGTTGGCTCAGGAGGTTCTTTTCGAATGGCTCTTGAAAAATGGTTTTCAGTTGATTGTTAAGCTTCTGCATGTTCTTCATGGTCAAATGTTTGAATTCCGGATTATCTGTCCTGAATGTGAACTGCAGGTCTTGAAGTGATTCAAAGGAAACGAATTTACGGAAGATTTCGTTTGTTGCACATTCAGTAGGCACTACAACAGAAACTGCCTTTTGTGACGGAAAAAAACGGTCGCTAAATGTGAAATTTTTGTCGCGAATTCTATGTTGTGACCAAAAAAATTTGGTAGAAGCTTTGGTAATATTTGCCGCGTTAGGAAACCATTTTGTGACCAAATTTTCGGTTTGGTCACAATACATCGTATTTTTGTGACGAAAGTCACAATTGGTCACAATTTTTTTTTATTTGCAACCAAGACAATTGGTAACAAAAAAACTGTCAAAATAGTCACAAAAGAATACCTGATTGGTCACAAATAACATGAAAACCAACCAATTCATATATAATTTACCAACCAAATGATTAAGTCACAAAAGCAATTATTTAAAACCAAAGAATTTGGTTACAAAACTATTCTTCATAGCTAATGTAATTATCATTAAGTGACCAAAAGTTTTGGTTATGAAACTCTTATCCTTACCAATATTTTATGGTCGCTATATAATCTAAATATGAATAGTCATTTTGGTTTTAAAAAGTATATAATGTAACCAATTTATTTGTTCAACAATAACTATTTTCATTGGTCACAAATATTATTTCCAACCAATGTTTTATGGTAACCATACATTCTAAATGTAACCATTTTTTTGGTTATAAAATGTTCTAAAAATGACTGCGTTGAATAGTCATTTTGGTTTTAAAAAGTATATAATGTAACCAATTTATTTGTTCAACAATAACTATTTTCATTGGTCACAAATATTATTTCCAACCAATGTTTTATGGTAACCATACGTTCTAAATGTAACCATTTTTTTGGTTATAAAATGTTATAAATATGACTGCTAATTTGGTTATATATATATATTAGTTGAGAAAGGCTATAAATTTGGTTATATTAGCATAACGTAATGCAACCAATTTAGGACAATAATGGTATAATGGTCACATTATATTTCCAACCAAATACCAACTTACATAAGTTCATAGCAGTTCTAATTCATTGAAAAAAATACAAAAATATGAGAAACTATAATCTGCCAAAGAAATCACTTTGGCTTGAGAGATCACCCAGCTCCTTTCTTCTGCCCCTTGTTCGAAATACCTGCACCATATATAGTACAAACTCAGTGAACAAAACAAGATCCTTGGTTCTCAACAACAAATCAAAACAGTATGATTACCAAAGCAAGTATAACTTTATACTTTTATCAGCCTTTTGTTTCAGCTTTAGACTTGTGAGTTCCCAAAGCCAAGTATCATTACCACCCAACCATTGTATTGCCTGCATACAGATCAGTCCAATAGTCCATTCACAGTATTAGCTAAGGCAGTATTTGCATAGGATATGTGAGTGACTTTCATGAAAACCTGAGATTCAGTGGTAAAAGGATAATGGTAAAAGGAGGGGGAGGGGGAATAAAAGATGCAGCTCAATGGTAATTTGTACCTGGGATTCAGTGGCAGGAACAGGTTTAATGTGATGAGCAGCATGCAACATGCTAAAGTGGAAGCCTTCTCACTTTCAGTGGTAAAAGGAACAGTTCCAGTAGTCTTTCTGCGGATAGCCTTCTCACTCCAGTTATCTAACAAGCATAAAATAAACGAGTCAATCACAACACAAGCCATTAAAAGCAAAGACAACAAGACATAACATGAGACTGAGCTGAAAACAAACGAAGTACCTACTGTAAGATATATAACTACTTAAAGTGATTGACACATCTCCACACCAGTATCTAGAAAAAGCAGAGTCCCATGGCATATCTAGCAGCTGATTTGACCCACCACTTCACTCTCATCCTTCTCTCCATTTCAGGTCCTTTAACTCCGTCAGCTCATCAAGTCCATCGACATCGACCAGTTTCGTGCAGCCCAAAATATCAAGCTCCTCCAACTTCTTGAGACCAGACAGATTTCCCAACTCTGTTATTGACCAAAATAAGCATAGTGAGCTATTTCGATACATTTATGTTCTTGTGTTCTGTATGCATTATATGATAGTATGTAAGCTATTTCGATAAATCGAACACATGGCAGGTATGCTTCCACATGATGATCGACCTTCTCCGAACACATGCCAACGCCGAAGCAAATGAGGCGAATAATCACGCTATAGAAACCAATTCAAATCCAACAGATTCTACTGAGCTAAACATTTGAAACCAATTCAAATCTCAGAGATTGACCTCTGCGTACCTTTTTCATCAGGAGATGGAGGCGATACTGCTATTCGATTTTGCTGCAGCAAGACGTTCTCACCGATCGATTCGCCGTCGACCGCAATTCAACGAATTCATTGATTCTTGAAGCATTGTGGTTCCCATGGAAGAGTCGAAGGCGATCCCGAGCACGAAGGAGAGTGAGCGGCGGCGGCGGCGGCAATATCGCGGACGAAGGATGAGCGGCGGCGGCGATCTCGCAGGCGAAGGATTGAGTGAGTCGAAGGCGATCTCAAAGGCGAAGGAGTGAGCGGCGGCGTTGGCGGCGATCTCGCGGCGAAGGAGTGAGCAAGTCGACGGCGACCTCGAAGGAGTGAGCGGAGGCGGACGCGAACTCGCCGGCGAAGGTGTGAGCGGCGGTGAATCGAGGGCGAAGGAGTTTGGAAGATTGAATGGCGGCGACTAGGGATTTGGACGATGGAAATATGGTTTGGAAATATGACTTATCGTCTTCCCCTTATCGTTTAATACCTTTTATCTTTTTTTTTTTTTGGAAATATGACAATCTATCAAATTGGTTTGGAAATATGACTTATCGTCTTCCCCTTATCGTTTAATACCTTTTATCTTTTTTTTTTTGGAAATATGACAATCTATCAAATAAAGTGGTCACTCTCAACAATACGAACTTGAGTAGCAACACTGCAACAGGAAGAGCATTAAACTTCAACATCAGCATCTTCATCCGACTCAACTTCCACGCACTGGGCAACTTCAACATCACTTAAGTAATCTTCTAAGGTATCATCTACTTCTTCACAATCATCAACAAAGATCTCATCATCCTCAACAGCATGGTCACTCTCAACAATACGAACTTGAGTAGCATCCACTATTTCAGCATCTAAATTAGATCTACTCAAACCTATCAAGTGTTGCTCCTCAATGACAAGACTTGCATCTACATTCGAAACTTCTTCTTGAAATGCAATGTCGACATTGTCTTGTACTTCTTCAGAATCGACCACTTCAGAAGGTGCTATGGGGACATCAAAAATATGTCTATGTCGACACTTCCGTACTACTTTCCAATCCTTACCCAACTTGGTATCTTTGAGGTAAAATACTTGCTTTGCTTGGTCAGCCAGAATGAAGGAGTCATTCTCATACCAAAGACTACCAACATTGATGCTAGTGACATGGCCATCTGTTTGAATACCCTTCTTCCTGCCATCCAATTTGAACCACTCACACTTGAATAATACCACCTTCTTGTCCTTAACATACTCAACAACAAGAATCTCATCAATAACCCCATAAAAGTCAATCAACTTATTCACATGGTATCCTTCAACCATGACTCCGCAAGTTTGAGTTCTAGTATGAGCATTTCGATCTTTTGTATGGAATCTTACTCCATTCACTATACATCCGGCGTACTTCTTCACACCGATATGAGGGCCACATGCCAAAGCATACATAGGCGTTGTCACTTCGGGTGGCTCACGAAAATATAATCTTTGAATCTACAAGTAATAGCACATGGTAATGATGGAGTAAATGCCGAGCTAAGTGACTTCAATACAAATTCAAAATGAAAGGAGATGATTACTCTGATTGCACATACTTACATGATTCTTAAACCACAGTGGAAATTGTTCACGTTGCCTTGATTGCAAATTCAACTCGTTTTCCTGTCTAAGCTCAGTTTTGTGAAGGCTGGATCATAAAATTAAGATTAGTTAGTAGTGTATAAAGTTAAAAAAAATCAATGAGTAATTATATGATGTACTCACTTCAAATATTCTTGTGCCTCGGAGCAATTGTTCAGAATATACCACATTACTATCTCCCGTTCTTTTTTACCCATGTTCACATAGTTAAATGCTCCTAATGGTCGAACCTTTTAAGAAAAAATAGATAACCCACCATCCTCTATGTTGTCAACATTCCGCTCTTCACGATGAAATTGAGTTTCAATACCTCGAAGGTACATTGAGCAAAACTGTATTCCTTCCTTCACCTCATAAACCTCTGCAATGGAGCCTTCGGGTCGAGCCTTATTTCGAACAGTACCTTTCAATGTTCGTAAATATCTGGAAATGAAAATGAAGGTATAAGTAAAACGAATAAAGGAGAAGCTAAGTATTCTGATGTAAAATTGTTATCTCTCGATTGGATACATCCATCTGAATTGAACTGGTCCTCCAAGTTTAACCTCCTTAGGTAGATGAATCGCCAGATGCACCATTACATCAAAAAAGGCTGGAGGGAAAACCATCTCAAGCTTGCAAAGTATGACCACTATATCTTTCTCCATTTGCTCAATATCGGCCATGTGTATTGTCTTACAACACAACTTCCTAAAGAAATCTCCCAACTCTGCCAAGGCAATATACACTTCTTTTGGCAAAAAGCTACGAAATCCAGGAGCTAATAATTGTTGTAGAAACACATGGCAATCATGACTCTTCAAGCCTACAAGCTTCCCATCAACTGGATTGGCACAACGAGATATGTTAGAAGCATATCCGTCAGGAAACTTCACCGACTTCAAAAACTCACAAAATTCCAATCTTTCTTTTTTGGACAATACATAACAAGCAGGGGGGATCTTATAAGAACCATCATCCTTCTCCTCCAAATGTAGTTCACTTCTTATACCCATATCCTTCAAGTCCAGCCTTGCTTTAATTGTATCCTTTGTTTTTCCATCAATGTTTAACAAAGTCCCCAAAATGCTTTCACAAATATTTTTCTCAATATGCATTACATCAAGATTGTGCCTCAGTTTCAACTTTCTCCAATAAGGCAAATCAAAAAGAATGGACTTCCTTGTCCAATTCAGCTCTTCAGGGGTGCTCTTTTTCTTTCTGTTACCTGGATGCTTACCAGGAACCAATACAGGAAGACTCTCCAATTGGTTTAGAATATCATCACCCGACATTTCTTTTGGTGCCACTTGATGATCTACATTTCCATCAAATTCTCGACTTCTCCTCCATCTATGATTAGCAGCCAAGTGACAACGATGCCCCGTATAACAAATCTTGCTTCTTAACTTCTTGCTACGTGTCTCCTTGTTACAAACAGGACAAGCCAAATATCCTTTCGTGCTCCACCCAGAGAGAGTCCCATAAGCAGGAAAATCATTGATAGTCCATAAAACAGCTGCATGCATTTGAAAATTTTCCTTGCTTGATGCATCATATGTTTGGACACCCTTTTCCCAAAGAAGCATCAATTCCTTCACTAATGGTTGTAAGAAAACATCAATATCTTTCCCCGGAGCAGTAGGTCCAGGAATAAGTATTGTAAGTATAAGGAATGGCTCTTTCATACATAACCATGGAGGAAGATTGTATATAGATACAACGACGGGCCACATACTGTATGAGCTATTCATATTTCCGAAAGGGTTGAAGCCATCAGTAGCTATCCCAATTCTCACATTTCGACTATCTTCTGCAAACCAAGGAAACTCCTTATCAAAGTCTTTCCAACAAACCGAATCAGCTGGATGACCTAAAATATCATCATTGTTGACCCGCTTCTCTTTATGCCATCTCATATCACTACTTGTTTTAGATGACATAAACAAACGTTGGAGCCTTGGTATTAAAGGAAAGTATCTCATTCTCTTGTGTGGAATTTGCTTTCCTTTACCATCATCAACGTTGTATCTAGAAGTTTTGCACACGGGGCAATGCTGTTTTACTGCATCTCTTCCCCAAAAAAGTGCACAATCATATTTGCATACGTCTATTAACTCATATCCTAGCCCCAACTCAACTAGCATGTTTCTTGCTTCATAAAGCGACTTTGGGAGGGCATCACCATGTGGTAGAGCTTGTCTTAACAACTCCAACAACATATTAAAAGACTTATTACTCCACCTATTATAAACTTTCAGATGCATCAATTTCAAAACAAAAGATAATTTTGAGAAACTATCACAACCCGGATATAGTTCTGTTCTTGCTTCATGTAATAGTTTCTCAAAATTAGGAGTCTCAAGCCTTGTCTCATTTTCATCAACACTTGAATTATTATCCACATATGCACCCAAGTCATCCAACATTTCATCCAAGCGATCGTCACCATAATGGGAATCCATTCCCAAACTCATAGTATCTCCTACATCTCCATCCAAATTCTCTTGAGTGGGAAGTCCGTAAGTAGATTGTTCTCCATGATAAATCCATTCCTTATATTGTGTGTCCTTAATAAACAAATGATCGAACACTGCCTTTTGACTGAACGTATATGCATTTAAGCATTCAACACAAGGGCAACGTATTTCACACAAACTACCCATATGGTCTTCGACAAACTTCATGAAATCCCTAACCCCCTCTATATACTCCATCGACCATTTTCTTGCTGTCATCCAATCCTTGTTCATGGTGTAAAACTCTAATCCAACAACCAATCTCTCAAATCACAACACATACAAGGCAATAACCAAAGAGATTAACTCACCCGTGAAATCCAGCTTCTCAGGCAAGCTCAGTTGTATAACAATCGATTCCCAAGTTATGACCTCTGTTTTCTTGAGGTGTTGTAACTCTCACTGCTCCAATTAGTCTTACCAGGTTTAGGTCAAGTCGGCTTGAAAGGGTGAAGAAGACAGAGATTGGTGGCAATGGGATAAAGAAAATGCCACAAGAACAGGGGAAAGAGGAACAGAGACTCACGAAATAGAAAGGGTTTTTGGCTTTTTGGGTTGAGAGAGAGAGAGAGAGAGAGAGATAAAGGTTCCTGGGTTTTTGGCTTTTTGGCTTGAGAGAGAGATAAAGGTTCCTTTTGTTTTGTGCCCATATTTTATTTTGATAGAGAGAGATAAAGGGTCTTCGTAATTAGAATGAAATGAAATGAAATTGCAGGGGAAACACTTCTGTACTGGCATGAGCTTGTGAAGGAAGAAGTTGAGATCACGATGAGGATTTGCAAGGGTAAAAGACGGGTTAGAATGAATGTTAACAAAGTAAAAGGAGATGCGATTCAAGCCGCTCACCGATCTGAACTCTAATCAGAAGTATGACGAGAGGAATTAGAGTCTTCGCTCAGATAGATCGAGTTTTGAAAAGAAGAAGATACGATTCGCCGCTCAGATTCGAATTTCAACTACGGTACAAATCGAAGAGGAAGTGGAGGTTTTGGAACGATGGCGTTACTAACCTGCAGGCGATGTCCTCCTGGAGTGAATGCGATGGCGTTACTCACCTTAGATTAGAATCTCCCAACTCTTCAGGCGACGTCGATACTTTAGGAGAGAACAGAAAAGAATGGTTTGAAGGAGATGAGTTTTCCGTTTCCCAAACAGACTGAACATAAAGCGGATTTGTTTTTATACCAAAAAGAAAGAGGTAAAGCCCAAAATAGAACCGGAGAAAGAGGTAAAGCCCAAAAGAAGTTCAATTATAACAAATGAGATACATAGATAGATGCGGACATTATAAAGAAAAAATAGAAATAGTAAGTTGGGAGAAAATATGACCAATTATATTTGGCCAGAAAAAGTATTTAATATTTTATGACCAATATTTTTAGTTTTGTAAAGTTTGTTTTGATCATAAAAATTCTTTTCTTATAGGTGACCATTTTAATATGTTTATGCGACCAAAAGTATTAGTTACTTTAAAAAGCATTAAGGATGATAAACAAATTGTTTTGGTTAGAAAAAGAATTGAACATTCGGCTACTAATTTTTTTGGTCATATAAATTTTAATTTGGTTATAAAAAATCTTTTTCTAGTTAGTAACCAATTCATCAAACGTTTTATTACCAAAATATAATTGGTCATTAATAATTAATTTTCGTCGACCAAAAAAAAATTAGTTAAATGAAAATGGTCACAAAAGGCTATATTTGTTGTAGTGGGAGGGCTAGTTGCAAGGTATGCTAATTCTACACCTCCGTCTGTAAATGGGAATAATAGGGGTGCTTCTTGGTCACCACCGTCAAGAGGATGTGTGAAGATTAATGTTGATGCATCCTTAGGGACTCGACAGGAGTGGGGCTAGGTGCAGTGATCCGGGATGCAGATGGACGGTTGCTTAGTGCGGCTCTCTTCTCCCTTCGCCCTTCGGTCGAACATATGATAAACCTTCGGGCTCACATATTCCCTCCCTCTCCTTTCAGTCGAGCAACTTCGTTCCTTCGCCCTACGGGCTCATATATTCTAAACCTTCGCCCTTCTCCCTACGGTCGAACATATCGGTGCGAGGGTTATAAGCACAGCAATACTGTCACTTACAATGCAATGCCAAGGTTCTTGCCAAGAAAATTACAATAGGTCGCTTGTGAATGTAGGAAGCTTCGCTGAAGCAGACAAGAGATATCCGACACTTTCATTCATGTTTATCTAGTCTCCCAGTTAGGTATAAATAACTCTACTACTCCTACGCTCAAAGCTACTTTTCCAAAAAAAAAATAGTTACCTTCATCTAGTAAAAAGAAAACGATAAGCTTCCAGTGTATAAAAACATATATTATACTTATGTGTACACTAACGATTGCTATATATATAGAAAACACAAAAGGGTTTAAGAAAAAACTTCTCCCTATAAAAACATATATGTATCGTAATTGAAGAACCGATCATGAACAAAAACATGTCCACGCACCAAAAACTAAATAACTATCATAATCAAATCATTCAAACATAACGGAGATGCAGATAGTCCAGGAAAAAGTTATAGTTTTAGGTTTTAATTTTAGGACAAGTAACTAATTAGTTATAATTAAACGTGTACGCATAGAATCTAAAAACACTTATCCAACTAAAATGGTTAAACTGTGCGCACATTGATAATCTCGCCAGGTTGTGGTTCGATACCCATGTCCATATAACTTGTATTTTTTTCCCCAGCCCGATCCTTTCCATGCGATCAGCTCCACCTACGGAACGACGTCGTTTCCCGGTCACTACAAGACGGCACATAAAACGACGCCGTTTTGTCGTGTCTCTTCTTCTTCTCCAAGAACTCCTAGTGCATTTTCGATATTCAACGCCGGCAAGCCCCCGTAACCATCGCTGCCATCACCACCGTAGTCCCACTGCTATCTCCTGCGCTGTCTTTCTTCTCCGCCAACCCCACGTCACCATCCCAATTGCACACCTCCCGGTAATTCCACCACCATCTCTCTTCTCCGGCAGGCGGCAACCCCATGTTCGCTAGGGAACCACATCCCCGCAAAATCTCCTTCCTCCCTGCAAGCTTCTGAATAATCGACGGACCAATCATCTTCCTCTCCAGTCACACACGTAATTTTCATAGGCCTTCACCGTCAATTGAGTCTGATTCTTCCCGAAATGGTAGCAGTCCACTGCCATCTTAAAAGTAGATGATGAGCTGAAGTCGATGCAGGTTGGGAACAGGGACGAAGATGCGCTGGAGTTGATGACCGGTACGTCTACAGCCGAGGACGAGCTCGAGTATTGGGGAGGATGAGGGGAGCAAGCTCAACTCTGCATAATCAGAATTCAGAAGACCTAAAACATGAATTTTACGGATTAATTTTAGATCGCCTCTAGGGTTTAGATTTTGATGGTTGTTTAGTTATGATGAAATTGGTCAAATTAAGGGTTAGCTATTGGGGAAGTTATGATGAACAGATGATGACGATGATGGTCGAATTAATCTGTGGGATGATGAGATCCATTGGAGCAAATTTGAATGACCTCTTCTTTTTTATCAATTATAGAATTTTGGGTGTTCGAAGCTTACCAAATACGGTACCATACGAGAAAATATAATGGCAATCTTTGTTGGGGGAGTTCATAGCACGTATAATTATTTAAGGGGTGCAAGTAGTAATTATCATTATTAATTTTAACTTAATTTATAATGACTGTTACATTAGATCAACGGTGCAAAGATCTGTAGCATGCTATGCGCCAGGAGCATACGAGTCGAATCCATATATATATAGCCATTATTGGCTTTTCTATATTAATTAATATTTTTTTTACATTTTTTATTGTATATAATAAGTAGTTACAAGCATCATTGATCTCCATACCCTTTGGCAATAACCAAAGTGCCAAAGGTACACATCCACTGCCAAGTCCATGTATTAAACCAAACAAGCCAACGATACACCATATGACCATGGTTGTTCAAAGGAGATGATTCTTCACAAGCTGACTTTGAATCACCCCCTACACCATTTTCCCCCTTCTGACCCTTACCATCACTTTGGACTTGGGCATGCTTGCCCTGGTCAGACACTATCACTTTGGAACCCGTGGTCATAGAGTTGTCCACCTCAATACTAGCATGACCATCCTCATTTTGTTGTGTTGGTCTCACCATCTCACCAGGTACTACTGGGTATTGCCCCTTTCGTGCTTTGGCATTCTTACGTAGGAATCTCCTCATTTGAGTCTTTGTCATCCCCCCAATAGCTACTGGTTGACTATGCATATCATAAGTATGCCCCCCTCCTTGTGGCACATTGGACATCTTAGAAGTCCTTCTCATGGGTAGAGGGCCATGTGCTACCCATTGCTTTCTTTGCCCCCATGTCGGTTGAATGACCCCCTCTACTTGTCTTTGATAGGATGGGTATCTCGGCCTATGGGGTGGACCAATTCTTTGTTGGACTGGTCGATTCGGTCTCACCTCATCAAGTATAGAACTCATTTTGCATTGGGCACATTGCTTTTCCACCTCACTTGACACCTTAGAAGCGGTCGAGTTAGCCTGCGTACCCTTCGATGACTCTCCCTGCTCGAACACCATGGTGGGGGTCCCTTGTTGCGTTGTTGTATCCAACACTAGCTTGAAACGGGGGAGCTCAATTTTTGAGAAGTCTGGGTTAACCATGTTGACACCAAGCAAGTTCGAAAATGGGTTGGTATCCACCAGCATGACATCTTTCTTTGGCTCGGGGAGCTTGATGCGACCCTTCTCAATGGCATCCTGCAATATATTGCGGAAAAACACACATGAGTTTGTGGAGTGTGGCATGTTGTTATGCCACTTATAATATGTTTTCCCTCTTAACTTCTCAGGGGGTGGGATGTTATGCCCCCCTGTCAACTTGATTTGACCATCTTTGTAGAGTTGGTCAAATATCAAGTCGGCTTTAGAAATATCAAATGAATACTTCCGTGGCTGGATGGGGGCACAATTTGGTCTACCTCCTTGTGGTTCATTGTCCATATTAGCCAAAGGAGCAAATACATATGGATTCCCCAGAGTTAACTCAGCCAGGTCTACCTCCAACTCATTGGCCTCTTGGCCAATATGGTTGACAGGGTAGCCGATGTTGGGGAAGTATTTCCCCCTTGAGGCACTCCTCCTATTCTCCTCTTCTTGAAGAAGATATTCATATCTCACCGCGCAAGACATGAGTTGGAACAAGTAAGAGAATTCTCTATCTTGGAATTTCTTTCTTAACTCAAAACTCAACTCCCCTTGTGCTAACTTGACAAACTCTCTCTCTGTCAAGTTGACAAAATAACGGTTACGAGCATTCTTGAAGTTTGTCAAGAAGTGCCCCACCAACTCCCCTGGATCTTGGCGCATGCGCGCCAAATCAGCCATGGGAACCTCACACTCAGATCTATAGAACTGAGCATGGAAGATTTGCTCCATCTGCTGCCATGTTTGGATGGAGTTGGATGGCAAGTTGACATACCAAGCAAAAGCAAGTCCTGTCAATGAGTTTCAAAATACTCTTAACTTAATAAAATCTCCTACATCCCCACACTGGATAGTAAAACGTCCAATGTGCTCCACAGAAGACTGGTCCCCTGTCCCAGTGAATGTGGTAAACTCGGGGACTATAAACCCCCTTGGGAATGGGTATAGTCTATCCACCCACTTAGGGTATGGTTTTCGATAAATAGGTGGCATGGTGGGTCTCACTCCCATGCCAAATTGCTCGGCTAGAAGTTGAGCCACCTGGTCCCTTAGAGTGTTGGGATCATGCCCCCCTGGTTGCCCCCCTTGGGGTACGAAACCCATGGGGTCCATGCCAGGCCCATTTAAATGGGGTGGCATGGGTGTTGGTATGCTTTGGGAGGAACTTGATCTCCCCCACCTAAGCCTACTCCCCCTCCCATGTGAGCAAGCACCGTATATGGCCTTGCCACTGGTATGGATATGGGTGGCGGTTCCACTGGAGCAGAATGTGTAACTTTCAAATTCTCACCACGTGGGGGAATTTCTCCAACTCCCACATTGGGTATCCCTTCCACTTGAGTAGTGGCAGGAATCTCGCCGCGATTCATGCGGTGAGGAGTTGGTTGGTTTGTCATTGGTGGAAAGAGGTTATCTTGCCGAGGCTGACCATTTACGCCGCCGACGGGAGATAAACTAGAATTTACAGAATTGTTAATGGGGTTTAGATTCCCGCCATCTAATGGCAGAGCTCTAGATTGGATTATTGGAGGATATTCAACGTGTTAAGACACAACTACAGAAAGGGTGAGAATGTGCCATTTGGGGTAGGGGAATGGAAGCATATGAAACCTTGGTTTCATAAAAAGAACATGCCGATTAATATAAATCCGATTCGAAACATGATAAGACACCGGTAGCCTTTGTGTAAGTTACCATAGCCTAGAAAAATGCAAGGAAGTGGGCGAGGGGCAAGCTTATGAGATGTTTGTGGTCTCAACTAGGGATAACACAAGCAACCAAACACACGCAGATTGAGAATATCAGGTTGATGTTTAAACAGAGTTTCAAAGGAAGAGGCATTTTGAAGAAGAGCAGTATGAGTATGATTGATGAGATAACACGCACTACCAAATGCCAAATGCCAATATTTTAGAGGAACACGAGCTTGATGGAGCATGACAAGACCATTGTTAACAATATGTTGATGTTTCTTTTCAGCACAACCAGTATGTTCCGGAGTATAAGGACAAAAGGAACGATGAATAATGCCATTAGATGTGAGATAAGAGGTTAGAGCCTGAAATTCACCGCCCCATCAATATTGAAAAATTTTAATGGGAAGGCCAAAAAACTTTTTCACGAGTTGGTGAAAATGAATAAAGACATTGAGAAGCTGGGACTTAATTATATTGAACAAAATAAAGCCAGCTGAACTTACTATAGTGATCATAGAACAAGATGTAATAAGATTTTTGATCACAAGAAAGAATAGGAGAAGGTCCCCAAAGATCACTACAAATAAGCTCTAATGGAGCAGTAGCACAAAAAAGTAGACGAAGGAAACGAAAGTTTGTGAATTTTGCTGACGGAACAACCATGACAAAGTGAAGGAGAAATATCATGATAATTTCTTTGATGACTAGACAAAAGAGTCTTAACAACACGCAAATTGGCATGGCCAAGACATTGATGCCAGAGATCAAGGGAAGCGGTGAGAGCACGAGGAGGGATTTGAAGTGGAAGAGAGTAGAGGCCTTCAATCACCGAGCCGCGATAAATCTCATGCTTCGTGTGGCGGTCCTTGATGACAAAAAATGAGTCAATGGAGAGAGGATTAGTTCATGTAAGAGAACTCACAAAAACAAGAGTATGAAGGGCATGTTGAACACGAAGAATATGAGCAAGAGAGTACGAATGATTGGAAAGAGTCGCACAAGAAGAACCATAAAGTGAAATAGGAAGGGATATATTTACCATAACCAAAGGTGACATGATCAGTGCCGGTATATTCAGAATGATGAACCAAGTTTTCCATATCAGAGGTGAGGTGATGATTAGCCCCAGAATCAAGAAGCCGTTGCTGAGAAGAGCTGGTGGGTTGGGATGACTGGGCTAAATGGGAGGATGGGCCAGTAGGAGGAGTGGACTAGGCAAAAAAGAGTGGGCTAGGGAAGTTGGGCCGAATGTGGCCATTTCTCGCACAATTATGGCAAATAATATTGTATGGGCTTGGAGGCCGAGCACCTAAAACCCCTGCAGATAGGAATGTTAATGAACCAAGCCGCTCATGAACGGCTCGACTCGAGAAAAACTCGTTCGAAACTCGATTCGTCTTAATCAAGCTGGCTCGCGAACAAGCTCGTTAACTAAACGAGCCAAACTCGAGCCATACCATGTTCAGCTTGAAAGCTCGCGAACAAGCTCATTTAACATTTTGGCATAACAAAGGATTAAAATTCATGGATTTTATGTATTGAAATTGGGATAAATATTGTGTTTTATTTTGCTAGACTTTGCTACAGGTTTGAATATAATTTTGTGCCCAGTTCTAAGTCAATCTTGAGTTATTATGAACTATGTATATATGCTGTGCAAAATGGAATGAGAAGGCATTCTGCCAAATTCCTCCAAATCAATCACTTCTCCCTGAAATTGCAAACCCTACCAGCTGCTAGATCTACTTTCTTCTCATGGTATCAGAGCCTGGTTAAGGCTTCTGCATACCTCCTCTTCCTTCACTGATTTTACCCTTTACTTTCTGTCTTTCATTTCGCCATGGTTGGGATTGAGTCATCGGATTCTGCTGAGATGGAGGTTTCACCTCCGCCTCCTCCTTGTTATGAAGATCTTTACTCCAATCCGTTCTACTTGGCTCAAAGTGACAACTCGTTCCTTTCGGTGATCGAATTCAAGTTGACAAATGACAACTACCTCCTTTGGAGCGAGTCCATGGAGGTTGCCCTTCGCACGAAAAACAAGATGGGTTTCTTTCTGGGCATGATTCAGGTACCTTCTTTGATAGATCCATCTTATGGAACTTGGGATCGTGTGAATGGTACAGTAGTGTGCTGGATTAGAAACTCTGTATCAGAGGACATCGTTCCTAGTCTTCGCAACATTAGGATTCTTCAGAAGCTTGGACTTACCGAAATCCAAGTTTAGCCAAGGTGATATTATAAGAATTGCTAATCTCCAGGAGAAGGTTGACTTAGCCAAACAAAGGAACCAAACTGTTAGACAATATTTTAGCAATCTGAAGTTAGCGTGGGATGAATTGAAAACCTATCAACCAATTCCTTACCGTGATTGTGCTCCTGGTACCTATGCAACTGTCATGAGTATAGGTGTCAAAACATAGCCCGACCCGATTAACCCGCCCGATCAACCCGACCCGCAACCCGACCGCAACCCGAATTGACTAAAAGTCAACAACCTGTAACCCGCCCGACCCGCAACCCAACTAACCCGCAACCTGACTAACCCGCAACCCAATTAACCCGAACCCGATTGACCCGCAACCCGACTGACCTGCAACCCGATTAACCCGAACCCGATTGACCCGAACCCGACTAACCCGTAACGCGACCGACTCAACCCGAATTTCATCTAATCCACTTGAATATTTATAAAAATATACAATACATAGTTTTTCAAAATAAAGTTTTTCATGCTAAACTTAAGTAAAATTATTTTTTCATTTCGTATAAGAAATTTTAAAAATATGAAACTCACTTGATATTACGTATTTTAAGAAAATTACAAAAATTGAAACATGAAGGTCACTTGAGATCATGACAATATTAATATAATATATAAATTAAAATTTTGGTTAATTTAACTATTCAATAAAATTATCAATTAAATATAAATAAACTAAAGTAATGTATTTGGTAATTTGATGTTTTTAAAAGAAGAGGAAAATTTTGGTGTATTCAAGTTTTTGGGAAGAGAAAGAAAAGAGAAATTTGGTTCTTTGAATTTTTTAGAAAAGAAACAAGTGGGAATTTTGGTGGTTTTGATATGTGGGAAGAGAAAGAAGTGGGAAAGTTTGATTCTTTTGATTATGAAAGAGAAATAAGGAGGGAAACTTTTGACTTTTCAACTTTTTGTAGAAGGAAAGAAGAGGGTAATTTGGTTCTTTCAATTTTATAGAAGAGAAAGAGGAGGGAAAATTGAGTTTTTCTAATGTATGGAAGGAGAAAGAATGAGGGAAATTTTAGTATTTTTGTGAAAAGAAAGAAGGAAACAAATTTGGTGTTTTCAATTTTTTGGTTTTTCATAATTTTAGCTTTTGAAATATGAATCTTTAACTTTTATATGGAGGGCATGACTAGTTAAAATTATTCGGCAAAATACACTTTCATAGCCATAACTATTCGCGTTGTGACAATAATAGCCACTTTTTGAAAAATACACTGATATAGCCACTTTTTCAAACTTGCTTGACAACTTTAGCCATTTTTGTCTCAAACTTTAACGTCGTTACGAACGCCGTTAGTAACCTCCACGTCTCGCTGAGGTGGATGCCATCTGGATGACACATCATCGCCAATTGGACGTCTTTGTGCCACCTAGATGCCACGTCATATAAAAAGTATTTTTAACAAAAAATCATTAATTTTATAAAAGAAATCAAATAAAAAATTTAGAAAGAAAGAAAGAAATAGTTTATTTTATTTCCTCTTTCTCTCTCTATTCTTTCGTCCCAATCCTTCCCCAAATCCCTATCCCACCGACGCTGCTTGTCTTCCGCCTTCAACCTTCTTTAGCAGATCCAAAACCATAACTCCTCTCTTCAAATCCCTCTCTTTCCCCATCAATTACTTGATTCCGACATGATGAGGGTGATGCATCTCCACTGCATCATAAACCGAATACAGATGAGTGGGTGGGGAGACAAAGCTAGAAGGCACCGACGAATCGATTTGGAGCTCCGGCTGCTGCGAGAGAGATAAGGAAGAGAGAATCAGCAGATCCAAAATCAACGGCGACATCTTCGTCACGGTGGAGAAATCTGGCTATCTGGATACGGGCGATGATTAATTAGACGATCCAAGAAAATTTTGGGTAATGATAGATTCGATGATGGATGATGACGATGAATGGCGGGGGAATGACGGAGGGGGCAAGGGAAGTTCTAGGCGTCATCGAGCTCCATCTACGCCATCAACGGAGGTGGTTGCGAACCTCCCGACGATGGAGGTGAACTAGAGGCGCCGACCCCAGTGGCGACACCGATTGCAGAGCAAGAGCCTGCGTTGACGAGTCTATGGAGGGAGTTTGCCGCCAGATCGGATCTGGTGAAGGACGCTGCAAGGATTGTGGCGAAGGGGAAGTCGGATAGTCATGTGTGTGGGTTAGCCATGTTTCTGGTCAGTGAGGGAGTGGGTGGGCACGACGAGAGGATTGGCGGCGACGTTTTGTCGCTGTGGATGGTGGGTTGACCTGGTTAGTGACGGAGTTGGTGGGCGCGGCAGAAGGATTGGCGGAGGCCGTGGAAACTCGTCGTCGATCTAGAGTGAAGGTGGAGGGGTTTCACCGAGAAGAAGGAGAGAAACGAAAGGGTAAAAATAAATCGAAATGGTCGATTAATTGGTAAAGTTACATTTGACCATTTTTTTAATTAATAAAATATAAAAAAAACATATACCATCTTTGCCACGTAGACGAAATTTGGCCACGTCATAAACATCCGTTTGTACAGTCAGCAGTTGTGAGAAAACCGTTAAAGTTATGGACGGAATGGCTATATCAGTGTATTTTTCAAAAAGTAGCTATTATTGTCACAATGCGAATAGTTATGGCTATGAAAGTGTATTTTGCCAAATTATTCTTATATGCTTTGAAGGCTAATATGTATATATGTATGTAATTTTTATGGGCTAATAAATAAATTAACCATTAGTTACAACAATTTATACTAAACTTGATAAGTAATCTTTGACGGTTCGTTGTTTAGGATATAAAGTATATGGTTAGGGTATAAGGTACATATGGTTTAGGGTGTATATGGTTAGGGTATAAGATATTGATGGTTTTGACGGTTCTAAGTTTTTTATTAACATATGTTCACTTGAAGTCATTTGAAGTCTTTAACGGCAGGAGATCCCTTTTTAATTTATGTTTATGGTACATGGTTAGGGTACAAGGTATGTGGTGTAAAGTATAGGATATATGATTAGGGTATAACAATTAGCAAATATCACTTTTTATCTATGTTTTGAAAATCAAAGTATGAATTTCACTTTTAAATTAACTATACTAGCAAAATCACAACTCAAGGACATATGGTTAGGGTATAGGTTATGTGGTTAGTGTATAATGTATTGATGGTTTAGGGTATACAATCAACAACATATACTAACTTAATATTGTTGATTGAGGGTAAAGCTAAGTGTATAGGATATATGCTATTGAGTAAGTTATGATTGAAGTCACAATAATTTTACTAAATTTGATAGCTAATCTTTAATGGTTCAATTTTTAGGATAATTCGAACAATTTTACAAATAACTCGTTTGGCAACAGTTTACTAAAGTTATTTGGGCAATGAGTTATTTTGAAATAACTCCTTTTATCACTATGCTTTTGCCAAATACCACACGCCAAATACCAGATTTGCATGGTTATACTAAACGAGATACTTTAAATATCAAATAAACAATTAACGGTGTCTTTTGGTTGCAAATATTGATATGACCATTACTATTAGCTATAATACTTTACCAATTATAATTAATTACATAACAAGTTTGCAAGTCATACAAATTGATTTAACATTTTGACTAGTTTTTTACAAAAAAATAAAGTATATATATACGAGGTGGAAATAAATTGGTTAAAAAGTTGAGAAAATAATTTAAATTAGTGTAATAAAATGTGTAAGTTGGTAATGAGTAATGAGTTAAGTTACTTGATGCGCTGGCCCGAACAACCCGAAACCCGACCCGCCCGACCCAAAACCCGATGAACCCGCAACCCGATTTGCCCGCAACCCGATTGAATCCGAACCCGATGAACTCGCAACCCGACTAACCCGCAACCCGTTTGAACCCGAACCCGATGAACCCGCAACCCGACTAACCCGCAACCCGTTTGAACCCGAACCCGATTGAACCCAGCCCGAACCCGCCCGATTGACACCTATAGTCATGAGGTATGAGGAGAGGGGAAGAGTGATTCGTTTTTTGCTGGGTCTGAATGAAAAATACCAGCAGGTGAAGACTCGAATGCTTATGTTAGACCCACTCCCATATTTGGATAGCATCTATCGCTCTGTTGTGTAGCTTGAAAGACAGCTTGATGGTGCTAGTTCTAATGCTGGCAAATCTGAGGAAGCCATAGGACTAGCCACTGCACTTGTAGCTTCCAGGTCTCAGTACAATCAGTACAATCAATCAAGGGATAAGAATCAAAATGAGCATCAACAAGGAAGCCTCTTTTGCAGATATTGCAAAAAGGACGACCATGTAAAGGAGGACTGCTGGAAACTCAAGAAAAAGAATGACTTACTTGGAAAGAACCCTGGAAGAGGAAACAACCCAGGAAGAGGGTTTGCTGGTTTTGTTGATGTCAATGCTGCAGAGGGCAATGCTTCAGGAGGAGCTGGTTCCTATTCTCCTACTAGTCCCATAAGTCAACAGGAACCACATTCCCCAACCTTCTCTGGTTTCACTGTTGATGAACTCACAAGGCTCAAGGCTTTATTGCAGCCAGCTTCCAGTTCACATGGGCCTTCTCAAGCTAATTCTGTGGTCTCTAGATCACAACCTATGTCAGGTATTCTATCACTTTTGATTTAATACACTGTGACATTTGGGGGCCAGTTAATGTTGTTTCTCATGATGGATACCAATATTATATTTACTGTTGTTGATGATCATAGTCGTTGTATTTGGTTATACTTGATGAGTCACAAGTCTGAAGTCAAGGTTTTACTTCAATCTTTCTTTGCAATGGTTGAGACTCAGTTCAGTAAGAAAGTGAAGGTTGTACGTTCTGATCAAGGGCAGGAATTCAAGATGTCCTCCTTATATCAGCAGCAGGGATGTATCCATGAGATGAGTTGTGTGCATACTGCTCAACAAAATGGTAGAGTTGAGAGAAAGCACCAACACATTCTCAACGTGGATAGGGCATTAAAATTTCAGTCAGGACTACCAATTAGCTTTTGGAGTCATTTTGTGATGCATGCTGTCTATCTCATTAACAGGACACCTACTCCTGTTTTGAACAACAAGTCTCCTTTTGAGACTTTATTTGGAATACCACCAAATTATAGCAACCTTAGAGTCTTTGGTTGCCTTGCCTTTGCCACAAATACTGAGGATCATACGCCTAAGTTTGCACCTAGAGCTGTAAAGGCAGTTTTTCTTGGATACAGTTTTGGTATTAAGGGTTTTAAACCGTATGATCTTGCAAGTCATACAGTGTTTACAATCAGGGATGTAGAATTTAATGAGTCTGAGTTCCCTTTCTTAACTTCTCAACCACCTACTGCCCCTACTACTTCTTCCCCTCCAAATCATCTTCCTCCCTTTCTCTTTGATGATGATCTTCCTCTTCCTCAGGATCATAACCTCTATGAAACTACTGATCCTGATTACTCACCTACACCACCTCTCTCATGTATGTCTTCCCCTCCTCCACCAACTCCTCCAGTTCCCACACCTTCTACTTCTTCTCCACATCTTTCCCTTCCTATTGCCTTTCGCAAGCCTCAAAG